GACGGCACTGATGTCCCAAATGCAGACACTTGGTTCACACCTCCTGATGACACTGCTGCCCCAAATGCAGACGCTCGGTTCACACCTCCTGATGGCACTGCTGCCCCAAATGCAGATGCTCGGTTCACACCTCCTGACGGCACTGCTGCCCCAAATGCAGACACTCGGTTCACACCTCCTGATGGCACTGCTTTCCACTCCTCTCAGGTTCTGCTGACTTTGAAAACACCCAGAAGACTTGGATTACTCTCTACTGCGATTTAGCCTCAGTTGTCCAGAACCTTGCTGTATTTCAAACATAGATCTCACCTCAGCCCCATCCTCATTTCCTTTTCCAAACCCTGACTTTTCTCATGAAAATGCCAGTGTTCTGGGTTGTGGGGCTTTCTCCACAGCCTCAGATTTTAGCAGTAAACAAGTAGAACTTTGCGTATAGTGTAGATGAATCAAATATCTTCTGGGCTCCTGGATACGGAGCCTCTAACGCCCAACAGCCTGGGAGTCTGTGCCCTCACCCAGCAGTGTGAATATCTACTACAGAATGCACAGCTCGTTTAGAAGCACGTCAGGGCACTGGAGAGATGGCTCGGTGGTCAGGAGCACTGGCTACTCTTGCCCAGGACTCAAGTTCAGTTCCTAGCACCCGCACGGCAGCTCCTCTGGTACTGAATGTACATGGTGCACACACATACATGTGGGCCAAACACCCACACACGTGAAATAAAATAAGATAAAATATATCCAGCTTTTCAATTTAAGACATGTATTTCTCAGGGGCTGGAGAGATGGTTCAGCGGTTAAGAGCATTGCCTGCTCTTCCAAAGGTCCTGAGTTCAATTCCCGGCAACCACATGGTGGCTCACAACCATCTGTAATGAGGTCTGGTGCCCTCTTCTGGCCTTCAGGCATACATGCAGAAAGAATATTATATCCATAATAAATAAATAAATAAATATTTTTTTAAAAAAGACATGTATTTCTCCTTTCCAAATTGTACCGGTGGCCCCTGCTGGCTTTATGTTTTTTTATTTTAAGATGGGTAGGTGTTCTAATATCATTTCTGCTGCAGTGATAAGACACCCTGGCAGGAAGCAGCTTAGGAGTTCACAGTCCCAGGTCACAGTCTGTCACTGTGGGAATTCAAGGCAAGAGCTTGAAGTCATCAGCCAAATCCACAGTCAAGAGCCAAGAGAAATAGTTGCATGCTCACTTGTTTGGCTTGCTTTTCCATACTTACATAGTTTAGATCCAGTCCATGAAATGGTAACCCCCTCAGTCAGGGTGGCTCCTTTTCAAGTCTTCACAGGCCTTCCTGGGGGTCCTTACGGGCCTTTCCACAGGCCCCCACTGGCCTTCCCGCAGGTTCAGACAGTCACTCGTTGAGACTCTGTTCCTAGGTTCTAGATTGTAACTAGTTGACAATTAAAGATCATCGTCACCCAGGACCTCTTGTATCTCAGATTGAGCTCAAATATGTATGTAGCAAAGGATCACCTTGACCTTCTGGTCCTCCTGCCTCCTTCTGGGATTACAGGTGTGCACCCCAATGCCTGATTTATTCAGTGCCGGGCGTCAAACCAGGACTTCACCAACAGAACCTCAGCCCTTGCTATTGACTTTCCTGTTCTTGACTATGGTTATTTTATTTTTAATTCATTTAATTGTGTATGAGAGATAGGCCTGCATGTATGTCTGTGCACACAGGCATGTCTAGTGTCCACAGAGGTCAGAAGAGGTTGCTGGATCCACAGGAACTGGAGTTACAGGTGTTTGTGAGCCGCCGTGTGGCGCCTTTGCAAGAGCAGCCAGTGCCCTTCAGCCATTTCTCCAGACTTTGCCTACAGTTACTGTAACACGTGGCTTCCTTCACGTCTCCTCAGGCTTACACAGTCTGTGTTTTACCTCCAGGTGATGGTGCCCAGCTGGATGTGGACGCTCTGGGTGACAGCAATGACACAGCCATGGCTGCATTCATGAATTACCTGGAAGCAGAAGCGGGTCTGGGTGACCCTGGGGACTTCGGCGACATCCAGTGGACCCTCTAGCATCTGATCCACATGAGACCGTGAGCTAAAGTGAGAATCTCTGTGGAGAGTTCCCTCTACAAATCACGCTGTTCTTCAGCACTGTATCGAGACTTTCTGTCTTTTATTAATAGTCTATCGGTTTTTATACATCTGCACCTTACTCTCTCACGGTTGTGGGAGAACAAGATGTTTTCCTCCACAGCGAAACAGTCAAGTTCATCAAACTCTCTTTACTCAGTGAACTAGCCTGGGTCAGGCTGCCATATGCATGACCAAAATCATGTTGTTTGGGCTTTACTTTGCTTCTTTTTTTTATATAGTTTTGAGTATGGGAATTTTAACATATTGACATTTTCCTTGTCTATGGCCTAAGAGACTGATAACGCGGGCTTGTGTGCTGTTATTCCTACACCTTGAGCCTTTCCCTAACTGATGAAAGAGCGTGGTGCGTCTAGGATATGGTGAGAACTTGAACATTTAAAGGGGCAGAGCAGCTTGTGAGGTTGTGCTGTTGATGAACACTGTGCACGGCCTGTGTAGAACTTGGTGAGGATTGCTGGGATGTTGAGGCCAACTTGTGCACACTACAATGGACTTCAAGGGAGAGGACGTCTTAAAACACAGAAAAGGCCTACGTCCCAGCGTTGTTTACGGAAGAAGATAGACCCTGAGCCCTTGCTAGCGGATAATAGGACCACTAAGGGTTTTCACTGTAGCTAGCGCTGTCCTGCTGGTTTCCAATATTGAAGCTGGCTTAGCGACAGATTCGGCGTAGAGGGTAAAACAGGCCCAGGCAGATTAAATGACCTATGGGCGGTCCCGCCTTAAATCTATGGGTTGTTAATGTTTAATGTATATAATTCAGCTGCATTTGTGGCGGCATCAGAGTCACTAGTTCCCTGGTGACCGAGCTGACCTAGGAGACAGCTGTAACCTGCTAGGTAACTGGTTAGTCATTACCGCCGGCAGCCGAAGGAATGAAGCAAGTGGCAAATATTGTTATTTGTTATTGTGTTGTTGTATGATTTTGTTTGTGTGTTTGTTGAGAGAGGATCTATGTAGCCCAGGCTAGTCTGGAACTTACTGTGTAGACCAGGCTGGCCCCATATCGATATCATAGAAATCTACCTGTCACTGCCTCCCAAGTGTTCGGATTAAAACCAAACATCACAATTCCCATCTTAACTACAGTCCTTCAAATGACAAGGCAATGAAAAACCGCTTAAAAGCCAACATTCTAGTAATAATTTAAAATTTAGAAGGCATTTTAAGACAGTGATTAACCCAGAGATGGTTCAAATGGAATGTAAGAATTAGGATTGTCTGAAACTCTGGCCTAGGAATTCATCCCAGTGGGTAGACTGCTTGCCTAGTGTGCAGGAAACCCTGGGTTCAGCTCCTAGAACTGTAAACCAGATGTGGTGGTGCACACCTGTAATCCCAGCACTCAGGAGTTAGGAGGATCGGAAGTCCAAGGTCAGACTGGGATCCATGAAACCCTGTCTTTAAAATAAATAAAATGAAAAGATTATTTAAATGTTTATCTATTCTCTTTCCTGAAGAATCACGCTTTATCTTATTTTGTGTGTGGGTGTTTTGCCTGCTTGTAGGTCTGTATACCACTTACAAGCAGTGCCTGTGAAGGCCAGAAGAGGGCATTAGATCCCCTGGAACTGGAATTGCGCACATCTGTGAGCTACCATGTGGGTCCTCTGAAGACAAGTGAAAGCTCTTAACCCCTTGTATTTGACTGTCTTTGCCGAGCGCTCACTCAGACCCCTTTTGTGCTCTACAGAGGCAAGCCAGACAGGCTGGGAAGAGCCAGGACGCCCTCAGGCTCTAATGCAGGCCCAGACCCACCGTTTTTTCTTCTCGGAGAACGGCACACCGAGCCCCGAGCCCTAGTGTCCTTTTGTGATCCACAGTGCCAGTTATTCACGCTGTACCTGACCGAGCAGAGCTTTCGTCCAATCTGCAAGGGACAAGTGTCAACAGCTTGCCAGTGTTCCTAGTATGCCAGTGTTCCTAGTATGCTGTTTTGAAGTGACGGGGTCCATAAGGCTGTAGCTCGAATAATAAAGACCCAGAGACAGATACTGGGGTTCAACCCAGAAATCAGAAAAGCAAAGCAGCCAAGCCACTAGAGAAATCTTACCTCTTCCAAGGCTGGGCACTGACAAGCTTGCACTCACTATTTCAATACTATTTGGAATATATGAGGTTAAGGCAAAAAATAAAATAAAATTAATTGTACTTATATCTTTTTACTTTTATGTTATTGTTGACTGAAACTCACAGTCCCAGCTTGGTCTCCTAAGTGTTGGGATTGCACCCACATCCCTGCTATTTTATCTTTTTAATGTGGCTAGTGTATGTTTCTTCTGGACAGCACAACACTAGGATGTTTTGCTAGGTGGATATTATGGAAATGGACCAAGAGTTGAGGGATGAGGTTATTTACTCTTGTTACCCCAGTCCTTAGAAGCCAAGTCAAGAAGATGGCTGAAAATTCTGGGCCAACCTGGGCTACAAAGTGAGAATTTGAAGTTCCATGCATTTTATTACGTGAAGATAGCCTGAAGCTACATAAAACTTGGGTTCAATATTGACACCATATGGTCAACAAATACATAAATTTATTGAGAGACAAAGACAACAGGAAATGCCGAAAAGAACCAGGAACCGGTGGAATGAGGAGGAGGTTGTTTGTAGTGTCCCGCTGAAAAAGTTGCACCTGCAATCCCAGTATTTATGAAGTTGAGGCAGGAGAATCACTGTTAGTTTGAGGCTAGTCTGAGTTACGTAATGATGCTGTGCCTCGCTGAAATCAGAATAAATAATAACTGGTATTGCAGGTTGCAGGATCTCTGGACCCAGCAGTGGGTTGTGAACCTCCTGTGTCCCTGGGGCTGTGTCAGGCCACATAGAGAGCTGACTGCCTAGTGGTTTGCCCAGTCTAGAACAGGGTTGAGGGCTAGAACCCTCCAGAGGCAATGTAGCTACTCTCTCCCTTCTCTGAGGGCTTTCTTTGGAACAATTCCTACCCCTCAGGCCTGGGAGAGGCACATCTGGCCTCCCTGCCTGGAATGCAATGATCTTTGGCAGTTGAGTGAGATGTGTGGGCCAGAGGAGTCTTAAAGGTTCTTTTCAAGTTGTAGAGACTGAGGTGCCAGTCAATGCTGGGGTGTCCTCTGACCTTGGGGGAGCTGCTGTCACCCAACTTCTTGAATGACGATCTCTATCCCATGTCCAACTCTTTCTAACTCTCTTGTTCTTGTCTGTATATATTACTGTTTTTTTTAATTCTGTGGTAAATAATGAAAAGAGTGAAATTAAATTATATTTTATATAAATAACTAGTTTGTGGTGTTTCTAACTTAATAAACTTTCTCCCCTTGGTGCTGTGCACTAGTTCCTAACGTAGAAGCACATATTAAGGAAAGGGTTGGCTTTCAGATCTCTGGGCAGAGCAGCACACAGTAGCTGTCTATATTTACGTGTTAATCACTGCCTGACTGCTTAGATTAGAATTTGGTGCTGGATTTCCCACTGGGCCACAGTGAGTCCCTTTTTCTTATCTCTTCTTTCTGAAAAGTTTTTTTAATTTTTAATTTTTTGTATGTACTTATTTATGGAACATGAAAACAGGAAGTAGAAGTGTATTGGTTTGAAAGAAAATGGCTCACAAAGGGAGTATTGCTATTAGGAGGTGTGGCCTTCTTGGAGTGGGTGTGGTCTTGTTGGAGGAAGTGTGTCACTTTAGGGGTGGCCTTTGAGGTCTCATATATCAAGCCACACCCAGTGTTTCAAGCCACTTCCTGTTGCCTACATATCAAGATGTAGGACTCTTGGGTCCAGCATCATGTCTGCCTGCATGCCGCCATGAAGCACCATGATAATAATGTGCTGGGGAACCTCCTTCAGCCAATGGCCTTTGGGAGGCTGGGCCAGGTGAGCGTGGCCTTGGCTTGTATGCCCACTCTCTCTCCTCCTTTGCCCGGCTGCTGGATTTAGTTCCTGTTCCCCACTCATGCAATAAACTGTGATCTGTGAGTACCCCTAAATAAAGAACCCCTTATTATACTCAATTCTGAGCCACTGTGGGATTATTTTGTTAGTGTTCACCTACATCTGCTGCCCAACGTGGGTACAAGCCTGCAACTACCAGGATGAGTTCACCACTTCCCACCATTGCCTCCCACCCACAGACGCTGCTGCAGCCTCTCCAGCCTCCTGGGATTTATTCCTGCCACGATCCCTGCCATGTCATGTCTGCTGGTTGCGCACAGGTCCCTTTGTGGCTCACAACTGCTGGCAAGTTTTGGGTTCCTACCAACTATACCATCCAGGAAATTAATAACCATTTTGCTTATACTATGGATGCTATTCTGCAAGGCTTATGTGATTTTTTTCTTATACATCCATCTATTTGGTTTTAGGAATTAGCTTTGTTTTTCATGTTATATCCTTAAGGAAATGGTTTGATATCAGAGCCAAGAATGATAATGGACAGCTAGCTGACAGGATTAATACCATCAAAAATCAAAAGTTTGCTGAAAAAATTAATACCATTGGAAAGGATAGCATTAATTTGACAGACAAAATTCAATTCATGTCAAAGAGTACGGAGAAATCATCTGAAAGAATTCATACTGTTGAAGTTAACAATCAAAATCTGTTAAAAAATTAAGATAGGTTAACATAAGATAGGGTATCTCTACAGGAAGGCAATCTGCATGCTGTCCAAATAATGTCCAAGAATGAGATGTTATCTTTACTGGAAAATTTTCATGTCTTGGAATCAAATGTGCAGAATAAGGACCAGAGGCTAAATGACTCAAGGAAAGCACTAGAATTATGCACAGGTCAAGAGATTCAGGATTTACAAAAGGCAGTGGTAAAAAGATTTGAAACAATTGAGGAAATTATCGGAACTGATGAGCAGGAAGGGAAGGTACAAGGACAGGATTTAGCCTCACCAGTACATGTCAGAGATGACTTATCCAGGGTTTTAACCTGTTTATCTGTAATCTCCTCTGACAAACCACCCAGTACTAAATACCCAGAAGGATTCAAAGAATGTAAAAGACAACCTATAGGTATGAACAATTTAAAGGAAATTAAGCAAGCAATAGTATCTTATGGCTTGCATTCAAAATTTGTTAGGGAAATGGTGAAAAGGTGGGCTTTAAGCAATAAGACTATCCCAAACGATTGGCTTCAGTTAGTCTCAGTGGTCCTTGAAGATGGACCTCAGCTGCTGTGAAAATGCTATTAGTGAGAAGAGGCAAAAATTTTAGAAGAATAGGGAAAAGCAAAACAATTTAAGGCTTCCCAAGATCAAATTCTTGGCAAGGGCTATTACGCGGATCCACAGGATCAAGATATATATGACAAACACACCTTGTCCCTATGCCACACAGCAACCTTAAATGTTTGGGACAGGATTCAAGAACTAGGGAAAAAACTGAATCATAAACCAGGGTTAAACAGGGCCAGGAGGACCCTTTAGTGATTTGCTTTTACAAAGACTAACTAAGGCTGTACAAATAAGAGTAACATACCCAGAAGCTAGATGAGTACTTATTAAATCTCTGGCATTTGAAAATGCCAACTTATAATGCAAAAAGATACTTGGACCTTTAAAGGTCAGATCAGCACCAATGGATGAATGGATTCTGCAGACAATGAATGTTGAGACATTTGACTATAACACTGAGGCTTGCGTAGGAGAAGCAATTTCCAATAGTATGAAGAGACACCAAAATGCCAAATGTTTTAATTGTGATAGAATAGGACATTTGAGAAGGGATATTAGACAAGGAATTCCTAGAAATAATGTCTTCTCTTGGAATGGCAAAATTAGAAGGTCTCAATCTGTGGACTATGTAGAAGATGTGGCAAAGGCTGACATTGGAGCAATGAGTAGATCAACAGCAGACAGACAAGACAACCTGATACTATCAGGAAACTCCTTGGGGGACCTCTCACAGGCCCCCCCATGTCAAACATGGTCTAGTCATTCCCAATCACTATGGAGAACATGTCTCACCAGGAAAGTTAAAAAATGCAGTGCTTGCTGTAAAAAAAGATACTGTTTTGGGTGATGGAATAGAAATGGAGGGTGAATCAAAAGCTCCAGTAAAAAATAGGAAACATATATTTTGCCAAACTTCTAGAAATGATCAAAGACCAAAGCTAAGAGTCTGTATAAATAACACTGTAATTGAGGGATTACTGAACATGGGTGCAGATATGACTATCTTTACTCCAGAATCGTGGCATCCAAATTAGCCACTTCAAGAGGCAGATGTTCAGTTACTAGGAATTGGAACCCTATCTCAAGTGAAACAAAGCATGAAATGGGTTGAATGCATACTGCCAGAAGGACAGAGAGGAAGGCTGAGGCCATATGTGGCTAGTACCACATTGAACTTATGGGGTCGTGATCTGCTGCAGCAATGGGATACCCCATATTAACTCTCCTGCAGTCCCAGAAACATGAGTTTCTGGGAAGGATATTATAAAGTGCTATAAACAAATGTCACCAACCATTCAGGCTGTACAAGAACACAAAGCAACTAGTAAACCTTTAGAGGTACCAATGAACCTACCTTTAATATGGTCAACTGAGAAACCAATATGGGTCAAACAATGAGCCTTAACAGGAGACACCCTGCAGGCGTTAGAACAGCTGGTCCAGGAGCAACTGGATGCTCGCCATAGTGAAGAACCAACCAGCCCTTGGAATCCTCTGGTGTTTGTTGTTAAAAAGAAATCTGGCAAATGAAGAATAGTGACAGATCTAAGAGCTGACAACAAGGTTATCCAACCTATGGGCCCTCTACAGTCTGGAATCCCTTTGCCTTTACTATTACCCACATGATGGCCTCTTATAGTTATTGATTTAAAATTTTGTTTCTTCACTATATCTTTACAAGAAAATGACAGAGGAAAAAAATGCCTTCACAGTGCCTTCTTATAATAAAATTCAGCCTACCAGAAGATATCGATGGACCATCCTCCCACAAAGAATGCTCAATAGCCCTACCCTGTGTCAATACTTTGTAAGTTATCCATTGGTAATAATATGTAAACAAATTTCTAAATCTATAATTTACCATTACATGGATGACATTTTGTTATCTGATTCAAATGTAGATACTTTTGAAAGAATGTTTTAAGAAGAAAGTTTTGCCTAAATGGGGATTACAAATTGCTCCTGAAAAAATATAAAGAGGAGATTCTGTCAATTACCTAGATTATAAAATAGGTTTACAGAAAACTGGAACACAAAAGGCACAAATTAGGAGAGGCCAATTGAGGGCTCTTAATGACTTTCAAAGATTGTTAGGAGACATTTCCAGTTTACGACCATCTGTTGGGATAACACCTGATCTAATAATTTATTTAAACAAAGCCTTAAATGGTAATAAAGACCATTGAATATATGTCTATATAAGTATATGTCTATATAATATTTAAGTTTTCCACAATGAACAATAAATTTTCCTGAAGTAATCTTTAAAGTTTCCAGGAAAAAGATGTGATCCCCACAACAACAACTTTACCTGGTTGATATGATGTTAAGATGCTGATACCACTACTTTAAGATCGGTTTTGGGTACCAGCTGCTCAAGATGGTTCCAACTTGGTTAGCTGAAATGGTGCACCTTCTTACAACGTTCTGACCAGAATTTCAAACAGGAACCTCAAAGATACCCTATCGACTACTCAGAGACTATTTGCAATTATACCAGAGAGTAATCTTGAAACTTAATCAACATTTTGCTTTCACAGGACCCCATAGAAAGAACATCATCTTATGACAGCTGGAAGTAATTCTAGAAAACGACGTCCCTTCTCCCAACAAAGTTTTTCCTCAGGGTTAGGGACATCAATTAGGGGTTGATTAAAATTGGTATAGGGTTTGGGTGTTGGGGTAGAAGTTTTGTAAGCTCAAGCATCTCACTTGGAAAAAAGGGAAATTGAATGGGATGATAGATTAGTGTGAGCTTACTCACACTAATAATAATAGTGAGTAATAGAGTGAATACTTGTGAGCTATTATTTATAGACAATTTACACTGGTATAAATTCTTCTATATTGATACAAATTCAAATTATATTTGTTATATTGAATATGTTCCTATTTCTGTTTACAATATTTGTACACCTATACAAAGTTAATTTATCATATTGTATGCATGCATGTTTCTACCTTTGTTTAAGACATTTTGTATATTTATACAATTTTAGGACATATATTTATCATATTGCGCTGTACATTTCTATATAATAGTACATTACTATCTGATCAAGATATTCATATATTGTTTCCATTTTGAGGTCATTATCCTAATTTGCTGTACAGTTGTTTAAAGATTGTTTGATATTTTAATATAAAGACTTAGTCTTTAAGTTGTACAGGTATTATAGATCAATCGTCATCCGTGTTTGTTGTACTTATATTCAGACTAATCAGGTTCTTTAGATACATAGAGATTGTATTCCTCATAGATCGATAATCTTCAACCACTTCAAAGAGCTGTGGAAAATGGCCTTTAATCTAACTCAGAGTTCCGTGGTAGTGAGACACATTCACTCCTGGCAACACCGATCTATACCCGAGAAAATGTTGAGCATCAAAGACACTCCACCTGGAGCCTTTCTTCTTGGTAGAACTGGCCTTTGGGTAAAGAAATGC